GTGTAATGAAAATAAAGATTATTAAAGCTTACATTAAAGATATGACATTTTAGTTCTTAACATTGCGTAATTAATATAATTAATAGATTTAAAGAAGCGGATTTTTAAAGTTTTTAATATTATTTATAACACATAAATGATGAAAAAAAAAAAGAAAAATCCGAAAAAAGGAAAAAAAAAAAGAAGAAAAAGAAAAAGACTGTTGTAGTTTTGACCCAAGAGAGGTGTCATATTACTTTTTCTATTCATAGTATTAATTTATTATTCTATGATTTAAATATTTAAAATGCCTTTGGTTCTTCAAATACAAATGGTTTATATTAAAATTAAGTTGTGTGTTTTTCTTTAATTTTGGTTCTTACATTGTTAATACATGTGAAACTACAAAAAATCAATCATCAATTTATCTATTTTCTTAGAATTTAAGCATTTTTCTATTTAAAAAAATATTATTAATTAATGATTATAAATTATTAATTAATGATCAGTTATACTTCAAAAAAATAAGGAATTTCAAAAGGCTACCTTTTTGCCTTCACATAAAAATATATATTTTTAAATATTTCTTTTTCTTATATTCCTTTTCTACCTTTTATTTTTGTAGTTTTCTAAAATTAAATTTTACTTATCTCTCCTTTATATTATCATAATTGTTTTTGCCTCATTATAAACATATATTTTTTAAATATTTCTTTTCCTTATATTCCTTTTTCTACCTTTTATTTTGTGGTTTTCTAAAAATAAATTTTACTTATCTCTCCTTTTTCTCATCATAATTTTTATAATATATATATATATATATATAGAGAGAGAGAGAGAGAAGGTATAATATTAAAATTATGTTAATAAGGAGCAAAGTTGATTACATTTTTTTCTTTTTAGAAAATTAAATAATTAGAAGGTGGGAAAAAGAATTTAATAAAAAGTAATAAATTGTAATAATGATAAGGAAAGATTTAAAAAAAAACAATAAAGTATAGTAATGATGAAGAGAAATATATAAAATATATTAAATTTTTTTCCAGATTTCATAGATAAGATAAAATTTAAAAAGTTTTTAAAATTGGGGAAAAAAAAGGTAAGACGACGAAAGAAGAGATCAGTGGCAATGATTCTCGAATATATATGGAACAAACTAAATGCACTATTAATTGTAAATTAAACTTAAATTTTATATTACATGAAATCTTTTCTTTCCTTTTTCTTCTCCTTATTCCTCTTTATTATTTTTTTATTTTCCATTTTCTACCATCACTATAATTCATTACTTCTAACTATCATTTATTTTTATTTATCTCCTTCTAATTTTATGGGAAATCTTCCATAATCAATTTTCTCTCTAAAATACCTCATCATTTTATGTTACAATAAAAAAAAAGTTGAAGATAGAAAAAAGTTACAAAATATATCAAATTATTTGTGACTTCAGAATATAATATTTACAAGTGTTTTGATTTTCGTGAGAATCCATTGATCACTTAGTCACGTTCTACTGCAATTCACTATTTCGATTGTCATCACAATAGAAAAAAAAATCGGTCAACATTCTTACCCATGGTATAATTGTAACATTCACCAAATGTCTAGTAATTTCATGCCCATATTGTTGGTGTTTTTATGTCTTGAAATGGTAAGTGAGTGTGTCGATGATCTAACAGATCAGAAGAGTACCAAATAGTATCAATATTGACACTTGAATTACGAAATTATATTTGATTCATATTTAGGGGATTATATATCTTATTATAGTTGAGAACATTAACTAATTAAAATGCAGAAGGATAATAAAACAGGAAAATAAAGGACTAAAGAAATTAGTAAAACAAAAAAATGGAAAGACGTTAAAACGTCACCATTGAAAAATTCATATTTTAATAAAGTAATAAAAAGTGCCTCTGTAGATTCATGTAGTATGCTTCAACTCTTTCTTTCTTGTAGCTGAAGCCAGGATGGACGCCACCTGTTCCTGTTTCTTCGTTTCATTTTATTTTCATTTTCTGTGCACAATGGATTTCATGTGAATCTTGTTCCAAAACTCTGTTTTTACTAGTGATAACTCGTTTTGTTGGCTTGACCACAAATGATTCCTCCATCATAATGGATTTTTTTTTTCTCTTAATATGCATCTCCTATTGGAGAAATTTTGATTAAAATCTTACAAAGAAATGATAAAAGGATCATTCAAATAGTTGTAGAGACATATATAAACCCTTGAAATTGTCCATTTCAGAAGGACTACTCTCTTTCTCTCCTTTACGAAATCTGCCTTCAAATAGTTGTAGAGACATATATAAACCCTTGAAATTGTCCATTTCAGAAGGACTACTCTCTTTCTCTCCTTTACGAAATCTGCCCATCTCATAAGGAAAAGAAGCAAATTGAAAGAGTACTTGGTTACATATTCTCTAGTCCTTTTATTTTATATACTAAAATAAACAGTTTTGGAAGATGAAAGGTTTATGGCCTTTTCATCTTCTTCAATTTACTTAATGTATATTGATTTGAACGATCTTGCTCTTTACTAAACGTTATTTAATAATTAATTAGAATGTATTAATTATTTTAGCCTTAATTATAATCCATTTACATGGAAAAATAGGAAAAAAAACAAAAACTCTGACAAAATAGAAAAATAGATTTCATGATCATTGAGGCATGCCACATCAGCGGGATGAAGATTTTGCATATATATATATATATATATATATTTATTAAAAAAATAGATCTTAAATATTTTATTTATCTTTCTGTGCACTATTGGTACAATTTATTATAATTACATTTTTGTTTTTTTCTCGTTGTTGCTATAAAACATTTTTTTTAATTCCCCTTTTGTTGTCTAAAGAAAATCTTATTTATTTATTCTCCTTATTGTCACTATTATTAATTTATTATTATTATTATTATTTAAATAAATCTTTTTCTTTTCTTTTAAATATTTCTCTTGATATATATATATTGACCAAGAATTTAAATTATCCTTTTTCTCCTTTTCTTGACTTTTAAATAGTTTTTTCTTATTTATATTTATGTTTAAAAACTCAAAAGAAGTTATAAATAGTATCTTAATTAGTAGTAATTCTTTAACATATTTATAGTATACACGTTTATATTATGATTATGATAAATATATTTACCTTATTTATCTATCTTCTTACCATTACTACAATTTATTGTTTTTCATCTCTCCTCACTATTATTATAATTTATTATTATTTCAAAATTCATTTTTTTACCTTCAATTTTTATAGTTTTTTAAAATTGGGAATTTTATTATCTCTCCTCGTTATCATCGTAATTTATTCTTATTATTATTCACGAAAATTTTCTTATTTAGAATTATTTATATTTTAATCTAAAAAAATAGTTAAAAATTTAAAACAATCAAATATTTTATTTATCTCTCTCCTCACATTATTACAATATATTACTTTTTCTTTCTACCTTTTATTTTTAAAGTTTCTCAATAATTTTTTTTTTCATCTCTCTTTCTTTTTATCATAATTTAAAATTGTTTATGAAATTTCTATTCTTTCTTAATTTTTTTTATCTGTAAAATTTATATGAAAAATATTTCTTTGATCAAGAATTATAATTAATTTTTTCTCTGTTATTCCTGATTTTTAAAATATTTTTTGTATTTATGTGCTATGTTAATAAAAATATTCTTTGAAAGTTTATTTTATATATTTTTATAATTTTTTTCTATTTTAATGTTAAATAAAAAATAGAAAGAGAATGATGTAATTAGTAAAACAAAATAAAACAAAGAGTAACGTATAACTCACTTTCCTTTTTTGTGTTTTCTTTTATGGTAGTACTAGTATACATACCCGCACGTTGCGCGGATATTTTAAAATATAATAATTTTTAAACTTAAAAATAATTAATATGAATTATTATTATTATTGAGTAACAAAAGTGCATGTATATAATAGTATGTTATAGTTTTTAAAATTTTAAATTAATTTTATATAAATAATTAATATATTTTTATAATATTAATTAGAAAAAGTTTAGACATTATAAACGCCACCAACATGATATTATGAATATAACGTGAAAACATACATGGTAATTCATTTCAAATCAATTTTAATTTGAAATTTGAAAGGAATGATATCAATTATTATCTTTAAATTGAAATACATGTGGAGAGATTTTATATGATAGAATGAAAATTTTGAAATGATAAAATAAAGTTGATCAAGATGAAAATCTAAAAAAAACACTTTGCAAGTTATCAATTCCAATTATATTGAAAATCTTCTGAGCTTGTTAAATTGCTAAAGAAATAAGAATTACAACACAAATTAAGCTTGACTATATAAATTCTCACTAATCTAAATCCTAACTTTTATCAACGTGAATCTCATCCATTTTATTCCATTTTCAAATGTAATTTCTAGTATAGTAAGATAAGCCATATATTTATAAAATTGTTCATATGTCTTTTTATTTTGTATGTACAATTCAACGTTAGCTTTAATATTATATTTTATTTATACTATAATAATTTTACATTATGACAATTTAGTTTACATGATTATTAAAACTTGACTATATAAATTCTCACTAATCTAAATCCTAACTTTTATCAACGTGAATCTCATCCATTTTATTCCATTTTCAAATGTAATTTCTAGTATAGTAAGATAAGCCATATATTTATAAAATTGTCCATATGTCTTTTATTTTGTATGTACAATTCAACGTTAGCTTTAATTATTATTTTTTATTCATAAAGGATAAAAAGCTATAATAATTTTACATTATGACAATTTAGTTTACACGATTATTAAAAGATATAATAGGGAATACTTCTTATTCTAAGTTAGCCTATATATTAAAATAAATTATTATTATAAAATTATTTAATTTATTATTTTGTCTATAGAGGAATTATTATTTTTTTAAATTCAATTTATTATTATAATTTATAATAAATAATAAATTTGAGTTATTAAATTTTTAAAAAAGAAGAAGAAGTTTCTTGTCATAGGCTATGCAACCCTTCAATCCTCAACATGCTATGCAATCCTTCAATCTGAAAACAAAAATCACACTATTTTAAGTCATTTCATCATATTGCATAATAAAGATAATCATTAATAAATATGAAATAATTAAGAAATAGAACTTACTGAACATTTTCGGCAAAATTATGTGAATCATCTTCTTCAGTTATAAAATCCTAGATGATTGCATATATGTTAGCACATACTATGTCTTCATTGCAATATTTTTTAATAGTTCGTCAATTTATTTTTGTATCCAACATATATTTTTCCAAATAATAGCATAAAACATCATTCTCTATAATGCAAATAACAATCTCCAAAACTAAAATGTAAAAAGATAAAGGCAAAAACTAATAGAAATTGATAGAAAATTAGGAAAGCAAAATAAATTTCTTACATGAAAAATACGATAGCACAATCTCTTAAAATGTAAATTTGAAAGTAATATGAAGTGAACATCAGATCTGCCTACTCTTAGCAAGAATGTTAATGACTTCTTCTTTCAATTTTACCATTGAAAATACAACACATTGTACCTCGTGACAATTTTATTGATATATATATTTATATTAATATTTTAAATGGTAATGTATTGCTTAAAATTGTTTTGATTCTTTTTAATTTTATTTTATGTAGCGTGAATTCAATTGTACAATCTTATCATTAGAATGACTTTTTCCCCATAAATTGTAAAACTTTTTCTTCTTTAATTAAATAAGTCTAAAAATTAGTACTTGTAAATTTAACAAATGACATAGTAGATTTCCTCACAAAAGCAATATACACACACAAACACACACACACACACACCACCACTTTCAACTTGACATTTTCATGTTGCGGGGATCACATCAACTCAAATCTACAAGATATAAAACAATATTAGTGCATGATAATTTTTTATATTAGAAACTCGCATGATAAATAAAGAATTATATTTATTATAATTATAATAATTATAATATAAATAATCAACGACCACCCATACTCCTTTATACAACAATTTTTCCTTTCAACTATTATTTTATTAGAAGAAGAACAATAGACTGTAAATAATTAATCAACTGTAACAACTATCAACCATATTGATAGTTGATAGAAGTCCACATTTTTGGTATGTAATTTAAAAAAATCTTGGATAGTTTTTCATACCTGATTTTAAATTAATGCATATGATAATTCACTGCTTGAAGCAATACATCTGTGCATTGATGAATTTCTCACTCCGAAAAATGATTGTTCTAAAGGATAATACTAACAAAATGAATAAATTTTTTCTGAAAAAAGAAGACATTTATTTATAGAATGAATGAAGCAAATGGATAAAGTAGGTGGTTACCTTTATTATAAGAATTCAAAAATAAAAGGTGGTTACATATTCGAAAAAAACCATTTTCAATTTTTTTTTTTTTTTTTCAGATTTAAATTAAACTGTATTTGATTATCCTTTAAGCAAATTTTCAGATTTAAATGGGAAGTTAGATAAAGATGGAATTTATTAGATTTTATCTTCTTCTTCTTTTTTTGGGTCTTTTTTATATATACATTTTCTTTTTAAAAAAAAAGTAAATAAATTCGTGAGTTGGTTATTTTTTTGAAAAATTCACATTTAATTAGTGGCCATTTTACTTTTCATTATTTTATTATTATTATTAATAAGAGTTAAGTTATTTAATTTTTATTTATTGAAAATGGTTGATTCACAACCCTTTTGTAATTTTCTTTTTCTATTTATAACTTTTTCAATTTATAAATTTATTATTTAAAATGATTTTTCCATATTAATTAGTGGCCATTTTTGCTTTTTATCTATTATTAATAAGAGTTAAAAACTTTAATTTTTATTTTTTGAAAATGGTTGATTCACAGCCGTTTTATATTTTATTTTATTATTATTTATTATTTTTCTAAAATTTTGTTATTTAAATATTTTACACATATTTTTGAAATTCAATTATTATTATTATTATTATTGTAATTAAAAAAATCAAAATTTTATGGTGGTTTCTATAAGTTTACACATATTTTTGAAATTCAATTATTATTATTATTTTATTATTATTATTATTAGTAGTAGTAGTAGTAGTAGTAGTAGTAGCAATAATAATAATGTCTGATTAAAAGGATTTTAAAATTTAGTGAATTATTACCCACTTTTCAATCGGCAATATAATAAAGAATATGATAATAAGTTCTTTAAAAAAAATCTGATATTTAAAAAACTGTTTTAAATTGTTATTTTTTTAAAAAAAATGGAATTTATTATTTAAATTAACTAAAGACAATTAAGTTATTGAATTTGAATTTATTATTTAAAATAACTAAAAATAACAAAATTTAAAAATAATTGTGGTGCTAAAACATGTCGTTTTTTCCTCTCCTTTTATATATAGATAGAAGATTCCATCGGCAATACAATAAAGAATATGATAATAAGTTTCTGATATTTAAAAAACTGTTTTAAATTGTTATTTTTTTTAAAATGGAATTTATTATTTAAATTAACTAAAGACAATTAAGTTATTGAATTTGAATTTATTATTTAAAATAACTAAAAATAACAAAATTTAAAAATAATTGTGGTGCTAAAACATGTCGTTTTTTCCTCTCCTTTTATATATAGATAGCTTTTTAATTTTTTTTTTTCCTTTTTTTTTTCTTTTCCTTCCTTTTACTTTTTCTCAATTTCATGCCTTGCCTTCTCATTCTTTTTCAAACTATCATATTATTCTTTTTTATCAGAAAAGAGAATAATTTTTTTTTGTAACTTTCCATATTATTTCAATACCTTATAGATAAATAAATTTAAAAACAAAAAAAAGGTGATTTAAGGAAATGATATAAATGAGAGTAATGATCAAATTAAGGTAAGGAAGTAAAAAAATAAATAGAATAATTGATGATGAGAATTAAATATGGTCACTTTGATATTCAATAAAATTTGAAAGTGAAATTGCAGTCTTCTAGAATTTAAAAAAATAATATAAAATTTAAAAACAAAAAAAACTACAAAAATATAAATAAAATTTCAGGCCTAAAAAATGTCACATCATCTATATATATATATATATATATATATATAAACTTTAATTAAAGATATATAAAAGAAAATAAAAAAACTTCAATTGAAAATATATAAAAGAAAATAAAACAAACTTTAATTAAAGATAAATAAGGAAAAATTAAACAAAAAATGTTTTTAAGGGAGGGGGAATAAAAAAACGTTTTTAAGAGAAGAAAAATGAATTAGAATACCCCCTTGCTTGCACTTATCCCTATTGATCTCTAAATAATTCTTCTTGCCCTTGAACCACTTATCATTCTTTATGTAAGTTTCTCTATCAAAATGATTTATTTCTTCTCAATATATATTTTATTGTAGAAGGAATTATAGTGCAGAATCCTTTAAAAGTCTTTTATTTTAAAGAAAAATGATTATTACATGATTTTTCTTCTTAGATCAATATCTTGGAAAGAATAGTGCGATACTGACTCTTTCTCTTTTCATGAAGAGATAATATTCCATCATCGTTAGAAAAAGAGACGAAGTGAAGGAGTCAGCGAATTTTTTATTCATTATTAGATCTCTACTCCTCATCTCTAAATTAGCTTTCAGAGAGCTTTGTCGTTATTTGTAAATAAAAAAGAATAGAACGAGAGAATTAATATTTCATGGTGGCATCATTTCCCTGGTTCACAAGTTGAATGTTAGAAGACATTTTGATGTTTTTCGATCTTCAAGTATATTGAAGTCTTAAATAGAATTTCATTCTTATTTTGCTAGATCCGCTTGTTGTAATTCTTGTTGGCATAAACGGTCAAATCTACACAGGTATATTCTAACGAATTCATTCATACAAACAAATCAATTTTTTTATTTATCTGAGCTAGTAAAATATCTCTTGCTATGAGTTCTTGATTTCAACTCCGCATAATGTTTATTTACACAAATAAAGCAAA